TGTGTTGTGCTTACTTTATTAACTGTTTTTTCCACAAAATTGTTTTGGATATAGGAGCATTAATGCTCTATACTGGGAAGCCCTGTCAGGTATTATACCCCCCATCACTTCACAAACCTTGGGCAAAAAAAATAATGTTGTACAAGCCTGGACCCAAGACTGTATTTTATTAAATTTTGGCATGTTTGTATTGCACCAATACAAAATTAAATTAAGACATCTTACTTCTTAAATCATAGCATATCAAACCTACCTACCAAGGATATGGTTCAGGCATACATATACCCTATAATTGTGTTACATTCCCTGGGGGTAAAGCTTTCAATTGTTTACTGAATAAATTGTATAATTTTTGAGGCCAAACATTTTAATAATAAAAAAAATGTATTTTTTTTTTTCAGAGTGCCCAAATGATTACTGTGTTCCAGTAGCTGATTGTAAAGCTGTATTTTGGTGAAGATTGTTCTATTGGATTTGTCTTTTTCTTGTTGCTTTAGAGGTGAATTCACTTGTCTGTTGTAATGGCCTTTGTTAAAAGGATTAAACGAAGTTCAACTCTGAACGGTATTAGTAAGAGTAATTTATTTTTTATTATTAAACTATCGGTTGGCTGAAAGGGGTGATTCACCCATTCACGTTATTTATGCAGAGTTAAAAAATTAATAACTCAGCGAAAGCAATTTTTATTGAAAGTAACTAAAAAATGTAGCACTAGGGTGAAAGCTTTTGCTGTACTGCATTTCAGGCAGTACACAAATTTTGTCAGAGAAATAAACAAATATTGGGTAGAAAAAATGTCTAGTGTATGTGGTGATGATAAAACTGCCAAGCATTTCCGGTCACTTTATCAGTCATACCATGGAACTATAAATCCCAGGAAGAACAACCACTTCGTTTCCTTTGAACTATAATAGTTGCCGCGATGTTGAATGTTTATTTTGACTGTTTATTTCGTCACATTAAAAAATAAGCCGATTTACGCAAATGAATGTTTATCGAAGTCAATCGAGCGACTTCGAAAGATCACGTGATCAAATTGTTTCGGTTATAGCATAAAAAAACAATGGCACCAAGACAAAAACACTGATAAATGAGCGACATTCAAAGGGGAAAAAAAACACATTGCTACTTCTGGCGATCGAAGGGAAACACGGAATAAGTCTGGATATCTTGAAAAACAGACAGACAAACAGCATACCAAACCCCAAGTTTTGCAAACTTTCGCAACCTCATTTTTCGAGGGTTGAAAAAAACAAAAAGTAATCTAAAAACGACATTGAAAATTATGAAAACTCCGACCCGTTGCATGATTTCCGGTACACTGAAGGTCACCCTGCAGACATGAACTTTTTTTTTCAAGTTTTCCGTTTCCAGCAAAGCGGTTGATACGGGCGTATCGGCGGCAACTAACATGGAGTATGACTAATGTTGTGGAAACAAAAGCGAAAGCACTGTAAGATAAACTAAGACAAAGGTTTTTTTAATCCTCTTAGTTTCGTTGTTCTTCCTGTGGTTTATAGTTCCATGGTCATGCATAAAGCTGAAAAAAAGATGTTCTTCTAATTTTGCAAAACATTCACTTTGTAAAACATCTGTTGTGAAAGAAATTAATATAATTAACAAACGATGCTGTACAATAGAATCTTTAAAAAGAAACCATGTATCTGAGAAAAAAAATAAACTAGTATTGACTGATATTAGGATAAGAATGTCAAGGGTTAATAAACTTAGAAACAAGAAGAAGAAATTCCTGCAGGTTTGGTCATGCACTTGTGTTAACTTTGCACTAAATGACAAACTATTTACAGTTCCTTTGACATCTCTCAATGTCAGTGACTTGGTGCAAACTGTAATCAAAGAAAGCTTAGAAAGATCTCCCATGTGCTGAGAGTATTGGAGACACATTAAATATAATTAAAAATGACTTAGCTGAAAACTAATTATGCAAATCAGAAAATTAATATGAACAGATTTTAGTGTAAAACTAATGAGGTCTGCGCAATATAACAGAAAATCTATGTTTCCAAGTTTAATTGAAATGTGATTAGAACCAAAAAATTATGAATTATTATGCTTATTAGGGAATTAATATGAACAGATTTTTACCCCAAACTAATTAGGTTTGTACATTGTCCTAGAGCATCTTTGTACTAAGTTTCATTGAAATGGAATAATTAGTACTTTAGATATCAGTGTGAAAGCTTAAAATTGGTTAATTATGCAAATTAGGTAATTAATATGTACAGATTTTACCCACAGTATCCAGGTCTGTCTATTGTCCTACAGCATCCATGTACATTCATTGATATATGATGTTTAGTTCCTGAGATATCAGTGTGAAAGTTGGTTAATTAATATGCACAGATATTTACCGGAAACTAATTGGGTCTGCATAATTCTAGATTTATTGAAATGTGATGATTAGTACTTTAGATATCAGTAGAAAAGCTGAATATTAATATGCACAATTATTCACCCTAAAACTAATCAGGTCTCTGCATAGTCCTAAAGGATCTATGTACCAAGTTTCATTGAAATGCGATGATTAGTACTTGAGATACATGTGGAAAAGCTGAAAATCAACTAATTATGCAAATTAGGTGATTAATATGCACAAATATTTATCAGAAACAATCTCTGCATAGTCCTCGAGTATGTAAGTACCAAGTTTCATTGAAATGTAATGCTCACTACTTATATCAAATGCTGAAAATTAATTATGCAAATTAGGTAATTAATATGTACTGATATTACCCTAAACACTACCAGGTCTGTGCAGTGTCATATGACATCTATGTACCAAGTTTCATTGAAATGTGATTAGTACTTGAGATATCAGTGGAAAAACCGAAAATTGACTAATCATTATGCAAATTAGTATCCACGGATTATTATCAAAACCTAGCATTAGTTCAGAGCATGTATGTACAAAGTTTCATCAAAATCCAATGAGTGGTTGTTCAGATATCAGTGGAACAATCATGGAACAGCTAAAACTCAGCTAATTATCATGCAAATTAGGTAATTAATATTCACTCACTCACTGCAAAGACTCCCATTATGTGCTTCGCTACGCACATGGGAGTCAATGAAAACCACAGGGATAGATAAACAACAATTTAAACTCATAGCTGCTGGAAGGCCACTTAAATATGTCATACTTTGTCCTTTACCTAATAAAATTTACATTAATATTTCTGGATTAGGTGGGGTTAGATCTTTGGCTAAACAGGGCCTAGTAAACCAAACTGTGGTCCTTGTGGTATGTGTTGTTGTCAATCCAGTTCTCGGTGGTACCATAAAATAAACAAATCTAGTGACTTTATAGATTGGATGGGAACAAAATATGGTGTTAATCAGTATATGTGTATATGTTCATCCTGTGAAGTCAAAATAGAACAGGAATTCAAACAAAAAGTATCAAACACTGCAGTGCTCTGGCAGAAAAGGAGTTGAGTCATCATGCTTCATTTGTACTGACAGCCAAAACAGTAGTAATGTTACAGCTACTGTCAATGATAAACAACTTTTTAAAGCCATTTTTTCCCAAGCAGTGCACTTAACAGATGACATTCCAGATTTAGTTCCTCTGTGCAGTGACCACTATGATTTATGGCGGAAAAGGAATAGAGTTCATTGTACTATTCCAGATTGTGGTATTGTTATTGTTGGTAGTGTTCGATACCCCCCAAGCCCTGAAATAATTTTAGCTCACTGCAGGGATCAGGGAGATTACCTAAATGTTGAGTTGACATCTGACAGTCCTCTGTGTGGTTCATGTTACATATATATAGAACGTTAGATTGTATTAAAAAGCAAAATCAAGGTTTCCTCTCGGATAATGCAACCTTAAAAAAAATTGTAGATGACATACAACAAGAAATGTGCATGGGTAATGTCATGATATAGAGTTAATGTACATAGTTGCATGTTATGTAGCAGATAAGCTGCTTAAAAAAAAACCACTA